CCTCAGGGACAAGACGAGACAGGCTCGGCACCGTTGGAGTTGGTTTATCACGGGTACGTCTTAACCCAGGCGCAAATAAAAAGTGCGGAAGAGGAAAGCTCCGAGGCTTCGCAAAGGGCTCCACCATCAACATCTGTGAGAAAGAGACGAAACTCAGCTGTTTACGTATCAAATGGGAGCGTCAGCGGATCATTAACTGGAAAATAAGCATTCTGCTGCTGTTGAAATTTACTGATAACTCGGCTAATGACGTCTGCGGTATGCCTACTAAAGACGTCGAGGTTCCATGTTTCTTATTATTTCCCCAAGGCGTGGCTTGATAGCACACTAAAGTTAAAGGAAGGAGATGAGATTTGTTGTTATAGTATTTCTCGATATAACCACTTAGTACCAATAAATTAATATGAACGCCCCCGCAATCTGCGCTTTACAAGCCGATCTAAATTAATTTCACCCAGCCATTATCTCCCTACTTTTTTTGCACCAACCCGTGGAACCCATAAAACTTCAACATTCTAGAATTTGCGGCATTCCTGGCAAATGTGCCAAGATAAATTACTTGCAGTGAGGAGTAGACGATATTGCTTGAATTCTTTGGACCTTGGCGGATTCACGATCAAGCGTAGGGTGAGTTACATAGAAAGTTTCTTTTACGTCTGGGTCACCCCTAGCAGAGCAAGTTGACAAGGGATAATATAGCAAAGTCACACGGGCTCACATCACCCTAGCATGTATTGGGTATAATCCTGTGTCTATTTTGTTTCATCTGCAGATCATCCATTTTGACTGGCTCTACAAGGCTTGTTTCTGCCCAACCTGATAAGCAGACTCGTTGCGAGGCAGCAAATTATGTGTAAGCTTTCAGTCAGCACATCAACTATGTCTTCCGACCATTCTCCCGTCCATCACACATGCGTCGGACTGCTTCCGGACACCTATCCTTTCATCCCGTGTGGATTTATCATCCCCGGAGTCATTCACGTATTCTCAATTCTTTGCTTTGCTATATATTCAGGAGGCTTCAGTGCCAGAGCCAACAGGGAACTCTTATAAGCTGTATATGAAGGGTATTCGGCTAAGGGGCGCTGTTGTTGGATCTTTCCCCCCACGACTCAATGGTCAAACGCGATAGCCATCTTGACACTAGCCTGATGTTATTAATACGGCAAGTACTTTATGCATCCAATCTCTTACGTGTTTATGATTCTACTCAGGAAGCTGGCGACAGAGGCGTTCGTGTTCCGATATGTTCGCAGCTAGGGGGCGTTCATGGCTGCAAGCAGGACCATCGAGTCAGACAAAAACTATATGGCATCGTGCACCCACGGATTGGACTCGAATTTGATCGTCTGTATTGCAGTCCACCGTAAACAACCTGGGAGTTCAGATATATGACTCCGGAAGTGGAATTGATCTTTCTGGGCATATAGCAGTTTTCGTGATGTCGAATACGAAGCTGGCTCCTGGCTGGAACTAGGTAAGGGGATTATTCTCGGCGGGGGATTTGCCGTTCTCCTCTGCTTCGAAGCGGGACCAATGAATGTCATGAATGTCAATGCAAGGTATACTAGCATCCATGAGCGTCGAGTTTGCAGGCGGATCATCGTTGTCAACATCGTGGCGGCACTGATGTCCTGAAATATCGACATGGAGACTTCAATGTTGTCATTTGGGTCCGGTGTCTGGTAGCCTAGCCAAGCATGCAAACCAGCAACCGTCTAGTCGGCGCAATTATGAAACGGCGCGCGAAAGGATCGACTTTATGAAGGGAGATATAGCCCGGTAAGATCTCATGCTATACCCAGGTTCGTCCTATGCACTTGGTATTCACTCTTATGCTCGGCGACCTCGAAACCAACCATGGGTGGACGTGGTGGCCTGTTGCTGGTGTGCAGACATGTGGCACTCAAGCTATTTTCGGGCCCGGTAGTTATCCTGGACAATACATACCGAGGTACCCATGTATCTGAATGTAATCGCTACTTGAATTGCTCCGTAATTTATGTTTACAAAACTCCTAGGACGCATCGCGTCACTGGCAACAGGAAGTGCAGAACCCGTCAGTTGTACAGCTCAAGCCGTCGGCAGCTTTATTATCAATCCTTGCCGACTTCGTTTTGCCCAGGTCCCGAGCAACAAGGCTAAGATACCGCATCCAAAAATATATCCATTACTATTGTATATAAAATCTGTCGGGCTTCGGCACGGTCGATGAGGCACCCGAGCATTCTGGCCATCCGGCGCTGGTGACCTTGGTATTTCCAGCATTCAACCTTAAAATACCCTAGTTCGATTTCTCGTTCTTCGACCCTGTTCCCGTCCATCTGTCCGCGGTCCAGCGTCCATCAACACCGAGCTTACTAATGCCCGTTTCACAAGACGGCACACTTACAGTCCAACCCTTGCATTATTCTATATGCGTGACCTGGCAGGGGGGGTTATAACTGATTAAAAAAAGCCTTATATAGACCCTCTCTTAATACCTAGTTTCCTATAATATACAAGCCATACTTAGTGTATTACCCCCTGCTATGAGCTACCTTGTCAGGTCACGCATGATGAATAATTCAGGGGGTGGACTGTATCTACTCCGTGCTCTATTCCGTACAGCGATATCTCGAACCAGTTGCTGGGATGCAGGTCATTCAAACCTACGTAGCGACCTGGGATCCCCCCAAGAGGATACCGGCGATAAGGAGTGCCATGGGTGGGTTTCAAAGGCTACTGGGGTTTCTTCATGCTGCTTGAGTCAGTAAAGTGAAGATACCTGGACAGAGTTTTCTGACCATGTTAAGGGCGCACGATTGCTCGACACTCGTGTCATAGTACTGGTCTGCATATATGTGCATCTCAACTTTGTTTTAATCTTCTTGTGCATGAGAACGCTTAGATCCAGAGTTTGCCTGGCTATAAGCGTCCTTTTTCATCAAGCTTTGCCCTTTTGGTAGTCATTAATATAACTATAAAACTTGGGATTCTGATGAGCATGGGTGTGCTGTCTCAAGTTATTCTCCTCCTGGTCGAAATCGTTCAATGTTTGCTTCGAGAAGAGCTTGAGCCCCATCTTTACCAGAGCAGTTCCGCTCCATGCCGTGAAGCACCACTGGCCGCAGCTGACGCAGGCAAAATTGGGTCAATAGCACAGCAGTCCCCACTAATAGGACTTAGAGTACCGTGTGAAGAGCTATTCAGGACGAGGGTTATATTGTTATGTGCCCATATGCAGTTGAGTTTGTTCTCCTCGTCATACGCGCAGCCTCTGGCGCACAAGGTTTGGCTGAGACACCTCGGTTTCCTCGTCGCAGCTGTTCGCTTTTTCGACTGCATCCTTCTATTAATATTCTATACCGCTATACTCTACATTAAAATTTGAGGTCAACCGCATTAAACATCATGTCCAGACGCGACACTTGTTAGTCGACGGGCGGCTCAGAGCATCGCCAAGCGCAGTAGTACTAAAGAGGATGCAAGTGCGAGCATGTTTAGATAAACAGAAGCCTTCCCAAGTTCAAGTTCTGGATACTTATGGACTCCCTGTTCATTGGCCTTAACAACGTTTGCTCAACATCATTCTAAGTCATCGATAGTGTTTCGGTATCGAGCATCTCGTCCAAGCTTGAAATCCCGGGCAGAGCAGTAATGGCCCCTCCCTTTAAGCCTTTCAGTGTGGTTAGTAACGGACTATACAAAGTCTGGTGCTTCCATAGGCACAAGCGCAGCTACAGTTCACTTTTCTAGCCCCCATCGGGTATACCCGAGCTGTATCATCCTTCCGTAAACCTTGCCAGCCGGGACCTTGCAAGCACTAAGGCTGGTCAGTATTACTCGGCAGATAGACCCTCAGCGGCTATGCGTGTATAATATTGGTCGAAGAGTGCTGGGTAGCTTGTTGACTACCCTTGAAGATCCCGCCCTCTCCAAATCAGCACCCGCAGGCTCATCGCACTCGTCTTAAATGTGAGTCTGAACAGCTCTCTGTTTAAGCTGCGAGGTTAGAAGTCACGGATCCTAATTTCCCTTATTGGCCAGTCAATGCCAAGGAGCTCACCCTGGCCGAGAGATTTAATGCCGCGCGGGCATGACCCCTTGACTTCAGCTGAGTCGCCGACTTCCTCGGCCGACGCATCGAGCCACAATCAACTGCTCTCACAGAATTGGAGTTACACAATCTGTTTCCAGGAAAAGCCTATAGAGAGTCGGGTGATGGTGAACTTTGCGGGGCAAATTCTCTGGTTCCGAGCTGGAAAAAGAAATACAAAACTGCACTCGAGCAGTGAAGATTCGCCCTTCTGTCACTTTAAGGCTCTAACTACCTCAGAACTTACTAGCATGCCAGAAGACTTAAAGTTACCCTATACGAAAACTGAGGTTAGGAAGGTGTTATCAGAGCTTGTTGGGAGAATATTATTAGGTATTCTCCGGTGCCAATTGGCGTTTTGGATCTCTTGTTATCCATGGTAGGAGTGGTTTTATCTCAATGGCAATAACCGACGGCGTCATCGTTACTAGCGCCAGCTGCGGCAGCAAGGCAATTAGCCTACGTGGTGTCGCTGTGATAATGTTAGCTCGTGACAGCATAACTGTCCGGTACTAGGGATCATATGTAGTAAATAGGTAAAAAGTACCATACAGATACTCTAAGGTTTATAGATTATACAATATCATGTGTATTAAAACAATTGAGTTTCTTCATTGTGTAAAACGAACGAGCAAAGCGGACTGGTGGCTATATAATTGTTACGAAGCAGCCAATATAAAATAAGTCTGTCTTACATAACCTACGAAACTCACCTACAGCCAGTGTCTATCTTGATTAAGATCAAAAAGGGCCTAGTCAATTATTTTCACGACGAGCAGCTTGATATCGTATTTAAGGTATACTTGGTAGTTTGATTCAATCTATCTAATAATGGATTTGAAGCCTTTTTAATAGCTAAATATGGCAAGTGCCATCTTTGAATTGAAGAGAAAGGTCGTAACTAGTTGGCTTTGCTAGCCTACTAGGACCAAACAATGTCGTCAACAGCTTTGGTAATATCCTGGAGAGGAAATTCAGATCGGTCCTTGGCGAGGGTGTCTGGGACTGTAGGTTTGCTGGCGTCCTGGGCATCCAAAAAGTACTCGTTGATGGAGTAGATACGTTCCTCATGGCCCACGGGGATCTGGATAGTCGATACTGAGAATCCCCGGTTATTCTCTGGGTTGTCCCAGTAAGTGTTCTTAATAACTCCAGCTTTCTCGGCGGTTTTCCAATTGTCGTTGGATATGATGACATTAATTTCCTTAGACTCAGAAGTAACCAGGAGAACTTGACCATCATACTTGGGAGGCAGATAGGCGCCGTCGAGTCCCAGACCCACATCCTCGTCGTTTCCAATCTTCACTACAACAGGTTCACCCTTTTCCGCTGTCATATCGAAGCGCAGCAGCTTGTGTGACTCATCGTCAACTGCGAGCAGGAAATCGTCCTTGGATACACCGCCAGTAAGGCCTGGCCTTTGGGGGGTCTCACCAGGCTTCATATAATTGCTCAGGTACCAAGGGGTAGCTGTCTTTCCGTCGGCGCTAACTTTAATAATCGCACCTGGATAAGTGCAAAGAACAAAAGTGTTGTGGTGGCGGTCATGTATGGCTTCCTGGCAGCCGCCGTAGGCTCCCTTGGTCGGAGTGCTAACGTTACTGCGCCACACCACTTTCTTTGTTTTCATATCGATCTTGTAAAGGAAGCTATCGCCGGAAATATCCGCGCCCGATGTGTCAAACGCAGCACCAGGGTTTATAATAGCTGACAAGAGCCCGGTCTCGGCCTCGACTTCTATACCGCTTGCATGATAGTCCTTATTCATTGTTTCATCAAATGTAATAGGTTCCTCCATAACATTGTTTGTTGGATCCCATACTGCGACCGAGGAGTTATATAGCACACTGCATAAATTAGTTACACTATGCATAGCAGTCCAAGAGTCTTTATCCCGTCATACCTGATGTAGACGCGATCAAGCTTGGCGTAGTAGTCGGCATTTTCCGGATAGAGCTGGAAAGATTTAATCGTAATATCGCGGCCCTTAGTAGGCCCAGCGAAGGCACCAGCCCCCAGAACCGCCAGTGAAGGAAGGAGAGTATTGCTGCGCATCTTGGATGATTGGAATAGTAAGCAGAGCTGTGATGCTGAAACTGTCGATAGAGTGAAGAATTCGATTCCAAAGCCAGGAGCAGGCAGACTTGATCATATATAGGCGAAGCTGAATACTAGTATCGGCAGTTAGTATTTATGAGCCTCATTACCGGAATAGCCGTTAAAGCCGAGTGGGAGCCAAGGACCGGATCACCCCTAAACCATGCCGTTTATAGCTGCCGAGCAATGGTTTGAGTTCTAGAAGAGCACGTGCATGGTGTAGTTTCAGATTGAGTGAACGGCTGTGGGGATTATGCCTACGGACCAAGACCGGGGGTCAACCCTGTGCCATGTAACCTCATTAGCAATGTAAACGCTTTTGCCAATCAGGCCGGGCGCTCCCTATATCCATAGCTCACGAATGCTCCATAGGCTGCGTAAGCTGTCGCTAGAATATGATACGTGTATTTCTTAGCAACTTCCTCTTTTGAGGACAATCTTACGATTGCGCAACACGCATTAAATGCTAAGATTAAGTACAGCTACACTATGCTATAGCACTTTGCCAGCAAGACATGTTCTATGAAAGATATTGTTCAAGGTTAAAATATTTCTAGCGTTATTAATCCTAGTCGCCGCATTCCTATATGCCGTATGCACAACTCTCAAGCGAGCTGACGGCGTCGTATATCTTGTCGAATTTGGCAGGAACAGCCGCGCCAAGGTGGCAAAAGATGGGAATATTGCCGCCCAGGGCCAGGCCTTACGCGCAAATGGAGAACTTTAGTCACATACATACGCAAAGTTGCTCGGCTCTTTAATAGAGAGGCTGTTGATTGCGATATTACATGCCGAACGCAAGGCCCAGCTCGCTAAGCTGTGACATTCTTGGTGATCTCAGCCACCAGGATCATGTACGCAGTCCGAATGTGGCCGAGCATCTTGACTACTCACAATAGGGAAAGAGTCGGGCTGGATACGCTGGTAATGTAGTTAATATCGTTTAAGCCAGGTCCATGAGCAACCGAAAACAATAGCCAGTTATATGCACGTTAGTTAAGTCGCGATAGCGTTGAATGTAGGCGACCAGTTGATCACAGCGTCGTTCCATGCAAGGGAGGGATAGAGGTGGATCGGCAATATAATGCTAAGATTAAGTCACTTATTTATTTAAATATAGTGTTACTTATAGCACCTACCCAGATCCTTGAAGTTAATGCAAACGTAGAACGAGGCTATCCAGATAAAGTACACCGGAGCAGATTCGTATGGGCGCAATCCACGACGCAAGCGGAGGTCTGGTAACGTCTTCCACTCAAAAGGTTGCAATACTATGTCGAGGGTAAACATAGCAGTACCCGTTATGTGGACCGCGGACGAGCATGGACAAGACACTCAAAACGAGATTGAGAGGATTGGAGTACGCGGCGGCTTCCAGGAGACAAGCTTTACTTGAACATGGAACCAGGGAGAGCCGTGGCATACATGTCAGAAAAGTACTGAAGTCCGACGCGGCGTCGGCGGGTACGTAGTAACCGTGGTACAAACCCGGCTCAGGACACCGTAGACTTTTAATATCCCATATTTGGGGCTGCGTAAAACGACACGATATACTACGGTCAGTTAAGTAAACGAAAGGCAAATATCGCCTTGCAGAAAGCCTGCTGCTCCCTTGTTCGCCTTCCTTACGAGGAAATCATCCCCGGTAGCCTTGAGACCTCGACCTCCCTAGGGCTCCAGAGGAGCTCCCATTAGACAATTCCGTCCAACAGCCTAGGCGAGTTCTGTATAATATCTTTTCAAAGCACAAAATCGTGCATCTTCTTGACAAGGAGTTGGTAGAAAAGGCAGAAGTACTGGAGGTGCTTAAAGCGCGCCAACCTCATCCAAATAATTGTTGGATATCATGGCTGCCATGTGCGACGAGGGTAAATTACTAGGATCGGGCTCGATCGATACCTCTGTGATTTGAGCGGCCACCTAAAGAACGGCTACGTCGTCGAGGATAAAGAACTTGACACTTCATATAAGCATTGGAGGCTGCAATTTATCACCAATACTCGTTTTGTTGGGCCTATAACGACCTTGACCCAATATATGTCCTTGTGACAAAGGAGGGGAGGCCTATTTTGATGACTTTAACTCGGCTTGTAGAATCGGAGAGACATTGTCGACCAGCCGTGGCAGCAAAGGTTGGATTGATTGCTAGATGAAGTATTACACGACATCTCAGCTCCCAACAATATTCGTACATGGCTAGCTAGTAATGTTCAATCTGACCTGAGTCGGATTCTACCGATCAGGGCATACAGATTAATTTATATACTTTCGTCTTCCTTCCTCCTAACCGCTCTCATAAATGGGTCCGTCAACAGCACTGCCATCAGGCTCCGTTCATCGGGATTTGTTAAAATCATCTTCTTAATGAGGTTGAGGAAATCCGATCTTTCTTCATCATTGGGGCCCCTACGCGAGTTGCGAGTCGCCTCACGCGCCTCCCACACCTTAACTCGGTCGTAGATGAGCGGTGCTAAAATGTCAGTATCGCGGCTACCGATCAACCCAAATGAGAAATGGCAGAAAAACCAACAATTTTCGTGTTTTCGATCCTGCTTGTTCCAAGGTTGAGGCCAAGTTTCTGGGGGAGGTCCACCAAATTGAATGGCGCGGAAAAGATAGTCTTTCAGAGAACCCCACGTCGAAATAAGCTCGTGGCCCGATTTGACATGGTATAACTTTACATAAATATCAACCGTATGCCTGGAAAAGCTTAGCAATCATGACCTACCGTGCATCCGACAGCCCAAATGTCAGCCGCTTCGCTCCAAGTACAGCCGATTCGGCCATGGCTCAGTTCGTGAAGTACAACCTCTGGGGGCCGAATCGCCGTAGGAGCTGCACCTGGCAAGCTCGGGATAGTCTTGCTTAGCCTGTAGGCTATGTAGATAAAGCCATGATAGTATTAGCAGTGGTATAGAAATATTCCCAATATCCACGTACCTCTTCCAAAGTCCAGAATCTTGATACTCATTGCCGAGCTAGCGGGAAATGCCTTCATGCCTTGTAAAAAGTCTGCGATTGATACAGATTGAACGATATATGGGGGTACTGAGTCCAATGGGAATGTTGGATCGCGTGGAACGACTGGAATAATTTCGGGGTTAGCAAAGTATTCGGTGATATCGTCTTGCTTGAATTGTTCTAGCTGCGGGAGAGCAATCCCAAAGTTGGCGATATGGGGATCTGTGTACGTTAGCTGCTTAGCCATTATTAGTGTACACTACCGACTTTACCTCCGTGTACTATGCCTTCCCCGTGTAGGAATGCAAACCCTTCTATAATTTGTCGAATGGCTGCAGATGAACATTGTTGCCTGGCATCTGGATCACTCAGTGGAGAGATCACTTCGGTCACCAAACACTCGTGGAACCCATTCGGTCCTTTCATAATAAATACGTCAAACAGTTCAATCACTCTCTGATGCCCATGTTTTCCTGGCCCAGCTTTACAGAGCTGGGTCAAAATCTCGGTTTCTCTGTTCAAACGGGGTATATCTGACCCAAGTCCGACCTTGACAGCAACATAACGTCTACGGGGAGAAGTCAATTTCTCAAAATCACGCAGTCTCAGCGACATACTTACTTCTCGACAAGGTCACGAGCCAGCCAGACTGTAGCAAATGCGCCGAATCCGAGCTTCAGCATGATCCGATATCTGGGCGCCTTGTTCACGTCGCCAACACAAGTGGACGGCTTGGGAAGGACGTCGCCGAGAGTGATTGGATGCAGTCCATTTTGTGTATATTTTGTCAAATCTTCGAACTGCCCTTCAGCGCCAGTGTAGAGGAAAATATCGAGCTGCCCTTGCAGCGATGTGGAAGTTTCCATATTGTTTTTCCGACAATGTAAGTGTGAGACAAAACAACGACACAGGTTTGCTGGATCAATTGATATAAGTACAGTAAGAACTTGGGGACATTTACTGTATGCCCGGAACGCTAAATACTCCAGAGTCCGGCCTGGCCACAATACTAGTTGACATCTGGTAGCGCAGCCACGGGAAGAGGGGCGCTGCCCCGCACATGACATTGAACTTGACATTGAAGGGACATGAATCAATTGGCGGGAAACGGCTCATGTGCTGGCGGGAACATCGAATAGCTCGGCGCTAAAAATGGTAAATTTAGATCATGATGAACCGGCCTCTAGTCTTGAAACAGGCAGTGCATCACCTCTATGCGGCCAATAACGATTGATACGAAGGCCGGAATAAGGCCGGCGCTTACACTTCTCGTGGCGGCTATCGGAAGGCCGCCAACTTGCACTCTCCAGCTACCCACGGAAATTACCTGAAGTCACTTATCGATATCAACATTGCTGTTACAGCAGCAACTCGGCGGTAGAGGTCAAGCCTCCTGGCCAACACACTGTTTCATGCCCGTGTGAGAGGCCTAAACTGCGCTGGGAGCACGGCGTTCATACTATTAATAAAGATGGAAACATAATATAAAAATCACCAGCCATGCACATGTTATCGTATGCCACATCTATTATCATTTCTATTCAAACACAGAATTCCGAGGTTTCCTGAACTTATTTGCTAGAGATCTCGTTACGCAACAAAGCACCCCCGCACTGGTGACGCGGGTAATATTGACTTGGGCGCCTACCATGTCCATGTCTCGGGGATATATCTCCACTTTGCCGCCGATGGTAGACCGCTTCTGATCTACTACATTCACGAGGCCCCGGATCAGGGAACCCTCAGCGCGGAGATTTGAGTTCTTGAAGAATTTGCAGCAGCTTGGACTAGGGGTGAGCTGGTGAGTCCGCCAAGATGACGGTGAAAGTGTCATTCGCAGAATATCCTCACTGACGATTGCCATAGGATGTAAACTGCAAAGCGCCTTTCGCAGATGCACAGCCCTGCGATGTAATAGTTGTAGCGTAAAGCAGCCCTTTACAGTAGCAATCACGTTCTCGGATCCGCTAACGCTTTTCAGGGGGGGCCACCATGTTTCAACGAATACACCCACCGAAGCAAAGCACCTCACAGTTTCCCCAGCCAGCGAAAGCTCCTGGGCGACGGGTTACGCGAGGTCCGGCGTACACGTCTATTCTGTAAACGACGATGTGGCCATGGGCTACCGAGGATGGCGAAGGACGACGTCATCCAAGGATCGTTTTCAGGGAGCAACTGTCAAGAGGCACCTTATGGAAGCGATGAGCAATAATCTTGCCAGTCAGGGACAGGCTGGAGAATCCAGCGAGACGCCTGCGGGGTATTGAGATGATGGTACCCCGTACTTCTGGTCAGGAAGCTCTCAAACGTATTAGTACTGTGGGCAAGACGCCTCGAGACATCGTGTAGGCTAAGCGAGGCAGCGCAGGAACTTGAAAAGCAGCTATGTCTTTACTTCCTTGAGCACCAAGTTATTTTGTGTTTTCAGTCCCACTCTTGACTTTAAGCGTAAGACTAGTATATGCTTTTTTATACTAGTGCCATGTAATTAAGTCGCCTAAAATCGTGAAGGCGATGGTGCCACGGCCTCCGACTTTCTGCCATACTATATCCCGGTGGTATGCGGGAGGCTTCGAAGACATCGCGTACAGAAAACGTGAGGATACGGACAAACACGTGCTAGAAGTTTTTCTGCCAGGACTTCGGGGATTTTCGGTGGTGTCAAGTTTATGCAGGGCAATAAGAGATCAGCGTACCCCTCGCCGGGTAAAAGCACCAGGGGGCTATGGCAACGACACAGACAAGCAGCGGTAAAGTAAATTAATAAGAGAATCGCCCGCCTTACCCTGACCTTACCAGCCTCTCCGATCATGCTCATAATAATTATTCAACATCATATTAATAAGTGTACTTATATTCTTAACGCTACTATACCTTGCGTCTGTAATTCAGCGTAGGTATCAAGCGTCTTGTGCAGCCTCCTCCCTCTTGTCCGGCTGCGAGCACAGGTGCTTTTTCAAAAAGTCCACCTGATATTGGCTGTTCCTTTCAAAAATGTAGCCAGAGTAGCAGTCAAAGTGGCCCCCTGGTACAAGGTGTAGTTGTTTAGGCTCCAAAGCTCGCGAGTAGGCCTCTAACGCAAGATCCGCGGGCGTCAGGACATCGTTTTCCGCCACCGTCATCAACAGAGGCGTGGGCGAGATGTGGTGGATATGGGTGGACGGGTTATACTCGCGGAATGCCTCGATGCTGTAATTGTTAGTGTAGCACTTTGAGATTTTGAGGTAGCGTATCCACGTACGACTTGATAGTCACCTCATTTTTCCAGCTGCACCTTTTCTCCCAGCCAGTAAAGTAGGCATAGCTGTCCGGAGTATGTAGGGCAGATGGCTTGTGCATAGCTTGTTCCACGACAGGCAGAACGCCCGCAGCCTTCCCTTGTGCCCTGCCGTGCCGGTCTGTATACATCAGTCAGCTTACAGCACTAATAGCAGAAAAAAGGGGGCTGCGGCTGCTCGTCGCACCATCTTGGAACAATTGGTTCAATTCAGGAACAAGGTCTGGTCGAATCAGTCGGTGGAAACTATCCCAGCCGTTCACACATGGAACTTGGCTCAGAACGACCTTGACCCGACGGTCGACGGCTGCCACCCAGAGAACGTGGCCGCCGCTGTACGAACTGCCCCATATGCCAATCTTGCCATTGTCCACGTCATGGCGCGATTGCGCGTAGGTTATAGCATCCGAGTAATCGCTGTGTTGTTGCCAAGGAATGATCTCCTGTCGGGGCTGGCTGGGCCCAGTATCGCTGTTGCCAAAGCCACGGTTGTCATATACGAGACAGCATATGGGCAAGGCGGATATGAAGTGCTCAGCAAACGTGTCGAGATTCATCTCTTTCAGGGCAGAGAAGCCGTGTGCCATGACTAGGCATGCCAATTGGCCGTCTGCATTGTCGGGCCTGTAAAACCATCCTCGCAAAGTAACGTTGTCGCTCGTCTTAAAGCTTACGTCTTGGCGCATCTTGCTTGCTTTTTTATTTGAGGTGGGAAAACAGTGACTGTATGATGATGGACCTACGGTTAGTATGGTAATGTTGTTATTTTCGGACAAATACATCTATGCACTTCTAACAGCCTCTAAAATAATGTTACGCTGCTTTATTGGCTGTGCTTCCGCTTCTGCTTCCGGCCACGACGGCTCGGCTTCTATACCCGCTTGCAGCTTTAACCCCGGAATCGGTCGCTATTGCTAAAATCCCGGAATGGGCTGCCGCTCTGACTAGTTAGAGCACTCCCTAATAGTAGTTTAAAATATATTTATAATAAATGATATTTAAATACAAGGCCGTATTCTAAAAGAAGCAACATTCTAATAATTGCTATACTAAGACCTATTATAGCCTTACGTTCCGCGGCTAAGCGACGAGAAATGCCTGGCTGGCCTCTTTCTCTGACTACTGATACGTGTTAACGTGCGGGTGACAGGCTATATGCAGTGAGGGTAAGGCGTGACGCTACAGACCAGTTGACAATATATAGATTTCTCGGTTGTCTCTAGTCTACAGGCTGCACTGCCCTCTTGTACTGCATGTACGCCATATCATGACAATAATATCTCTCCGTGTCAGAAACCGTTGCACTCTCATCCCAGACAGGTCTTAGCTGGCGGGTTGTATCTGTTGTCGGAGAGTCCGTCTATCAGGGGCTGTATGCACAAGCGCTAATCATGCTCGGGCATATTGGCTAGATGGAAAGAATTCATTGCAAACAAAAACAAAGACAATACTCCCCGCTACCGAGATCAGTCCAAACGAGTGTATTGATAGCAGACTAAGCAACGTAATACTAGTATGATCTAAAAGAGTGACAAGAAAGAAAAGATGCAAGAGGCGACAGGCAGCTCCTCCGTCTCAATACAACTTATCTCGGCTCAAGAGTCACGAGGTGCTATGAAAGTAAGTTGACGTGTCCGTAGGATCCCTCGAGGGCTTTAATAGGCCATTCTTGTGCCTTTTATCGCCTTGGGTCCGGGTCGACACTTTGAATGCATTCAGGGTACGTTTTGTCATGCAACTGCCACAGACCTTGATTTAATGTATTGTAGTCTCGTCCCCCTGATCACTCTGGAGAAACTTGTGCGCGTATTCTGCGGCCTCTTCTGCGGCCGCGTCTCGGCATTTCTCGTGAATATTATCCTTCACCCCAAATGGTCTCGAGGCATTTGCCATACAATCTCCTGTTTTAACCGAGCCATTCAGCAGGATTGTGTCGCACAAAGGTTTGGCGGTAGAACCTCCTACACAATTCCGATGCTTCTCGTCGCTATCCCGGAAGATGCGCACGCATTTTTCATCTCCTCAGACGTATTCATCTTGCTGTCGGAGGGTGGTGCCAAGTTATTGCCGGCTACTTCCTTTTCGGCTGGGCAAGCAGACTCGCTCTCGAAGTCTCCAGAGCCTTGTCCGGCCATGGTTGTCTTGCCGTCGCGGGAGTTATTGCTTTGACAGAACTTCCAGCAAACGTTACAAGGATAAGGCGGATTAAAATTAGCAGAGCGCGTTCTCCTGCTGCGCTGTGCAGCTGCCTCCGGAGGCCTTTGAATAGCCGGATGTGCGTACTGGATGCTGATTTAGGGATAACATCACATTGGAGATTATTCATAATGAAGCGCCATGCCTGCACGCCCCACTTCAATCATCAAGAGAAAAAGCAAAAGTGCACAGGCCAGGCGGTGAAAAATAGCAAAAACCCGCCGTTTACTTGATACCAGACTGTTTTTCGCAACTTGACTTGACAGTTCTGTGCCATTTCGCTGTAAGCGTGCTGTGAAGTGCGCTACAAGTTGCAAACGTTTCTATTGACCCCTCAGCTTTAACATATAGAGCTTTTTTTTCTCTTTTAGCTACCTGTATATTCTCGGCAAA